TATATTGAAATATATATATATATATATATATATATATATATATATATATATATATATATACATGAATTATTCACACAAAACTAATGCAAGGTTAATGATTTTAAATGGCGAGACATCCATCTCGCAAACAATTCAAATAGTACACAAAAACCTTAGATCCGTTATGAATGAATTGATCCTTGTTCATATAAATTTCTGCCGTATTAGTTGTTATTTTACACAAGCTTTCGTCTATTCATACAGACATCTTCAGGTATATAATAGATGTTGTTCTTGTTTTTTTCTCTTAGTAATAAGAGGACATCAAAAATATATGTGTATTGTATCCAAAATGCTATTGAAAATGAGATATTGGTTTTTTGAACGCGCTAATGCAACGCTGAGTTTGATTTTTGAATTTCTTTTTTTAAAATGTTTGCGTTTATACCAAATATGGTAATGAACAAATTATTTTACTGGTAAATTTTACTGTCAAAAGTGGCATGAACTATATTGTTCAATAATTACAGTAATGTCGCACTTATTAACCAAAAGTCGCACATGGATCAAAAATTTAAATTACAATAAACGTGCAATCAATTTTACAAATACATGAATTATTCACACAAAACTAATGCAAAGGTTAATGATTTTAAATGGCAGACATCCATCTCGCAAACAATTCAAATAGTACACAAAAACCTTAGATTGAATGTTTTTATTATGAATATTGATCCTTGTTCATATAAATTTCTGCCGTATTTATATTCAAAAAATTTCGGATCAATGTTATTTTACACAAGCTTTCGTCTGTTCATACAGACATCTTCAGGTATATAATAGATGTTGTTTCTTGTTTTTCCATCTTTTGGTAATAAGTGCGACATCTGAAAATATAACAATATAGTTCATGCCATTCAGTAAAATTTACTAGTAAAAATGAGATACCATATTTGGTTTTGAAACATTTTAAAAAAAAGAATTCAAAATCAAACTCAGTTTGATTTTGAAACCAATTTCATTTTCAATAGCATTTCGGATACAATACATATATTTTCGATGTCCTCTTATTACTAAGAGAAAAAACAGAACAACATCTATTATATACCTGAAGATGTCTGTATGAACAAAAGCTTTTTACGGCAGAAATTTAATGAACAAGGATCAATTTCATAACGGATCTAAAACTATTTGAATTGTTTGCAGATGGATGTCTCATACATTTAAAATCATTAACCTTTGCATTATTTTGTGTAATAATTTGTATTTGTATTGCATTTAATTTAATATATATATATATATATATATATATATATATATATATAAATATATAAATATATATATATATTACAACAAATCATTCATACAAAAAGTAACTTAGTAAAGTTAATGATATAAAATGGCGAAATACCTTCGCTAACTAAATTTTAAACATGCATTAACCCACCAACCACTTGATGACTGTTATGGTCCTTATTTTTTTTTTTAAATTATAAACTGTATTAAGTCTTCCTTAAATATGCATGTACTTTCGATGCATATTTAAGGAAGACCGAATTCACCATAATTTTATTAATTTACTTTTTTTATGAATGTTTTCTTGAAATATAAATTAAATATAGAAGCATTATGTGTACTGCAGCCGCGGTAGAAGTGGAATTTCTTGGGCAAGATAGACTGACGGAGCCCAACCCACTTCAGGGACGTTTTGAATTCAGAGTTTTTCCTTCTCTTTGACCGGTTGCTATCCAAGGCTATAGAACCCAGTCTGTCCTGTTATTTACTCATAGCTGTGAGGAGAAGATGAGGATTTATACCTTTCCCAATGGTGTTAGCACGTAAGTGAATATCATGGATCCGACTGGAATTCGAACTCGGCTCTCCGATTTCTCAGTCCGAGTCACTCTCGATTATATCAGTGACTATAAAATGTATTGTTGGTAATTCTGCTATAAAATTGTACCATTGGTCATTTTTCTACAAAGATGTATTGTTGGTTATTTTACTATGAAATTGTAATTCAAAGTTCTTTGTATTTGTTTGGAGTTTCAGTATTTGCCCACATCTGGGACCCTAACAAGTGCTATCACCCCGGTCAATTCAGAAGTGCTTTCACGCTGGTCAAAATCTTCAATCTCCCAATCAGAGGCCTGGTTGCCTCTACTTTAGCTACTACATCGCTATTTACATTGTAAATGGCGATACAAGATATATTCTTTAGTGGCCAGCACCCCCCCCCCCCAGCTCGAATCTTTAGGGCCAAGATCTGCTTTATCACATCCACAAGGTTGAATCAATCTTATTTCGTGCGTATTCTTTTGGTAAGAAAACTTCTTCCGAAGACCCGGTTTATGTTTCCTAGAAAACTACAGTCTGAACCTCTTCAAGTCTAGGATCAATCGTTATACATCCCTCCTATCCTTATAATCTTCACTCTGGTTTCAAGTTCATTGTAAAGCCGACTAACTCTATACTTCAAACGTTTCCGCCTAAACACTGAAATTTTATTTAGTATTTATTTTTTATTCTTTTTTTCCTTCAATAGATTCGCGTATCGACCGGTTCACCTCCCATCCCTACTATTTTGAACAGGAGTAGAGGTTCATCCCTTGTTTCCTGTTTAAGATTGAGTTTCCGGTTCCTTCTAAAGCCTACTTCAACTCTATAATTCTGACGTTTACGCTTAAACTCTGAAATTATATTTAATATTTATTTTTTTAATATTTATCTTTTAATTTTATTCTTTTCCTTCAATAGGAGTGGATAGGTTTGTTTATCGCCCGGTTTACACTCCTCCGCAGCTATCTGAATAGGAGTAGAGGCTTATCCATTGTTTCCTATTTTGGATTTGGTTTCCGTGTCCTAAAATCTTCATTCTCTTTCACTCCTAGCATCTCCTTATGTCTTAGGGGTACTATCGCCTTGCTTGGAGCTGTAGGCCTCTGTCGGTCAGGGTTGACCATGGGTAGCATCCAAGTTTTCTGCTTGACTGGAGCGTCGACCTCTGTGGCTGTAGAGGCCGATGCGAGAGTGACATCTCTGTTGCTTTTTGCGGGCCCCCTTTCAATGGCGACTTGTCTCAGCTTCTCCTCCCCTGAGTTAAGGTGTTTGGTCAGGGTTCCTCTCCATTCGGATCTGGCTCTCCCAGAACTCTGTTTTGATGTCTACAACTTTCATATCACTTCTTACTATATAGCGGTACTGCCGATGTGGCCGCCTGGCAGGTCTCCTTTCAGCGGCCGGCTCTTCATACAAGAGGTCTTTAGGGATGCAGCCGTCTGGCATGCAATGGACATAGTCCAACCAACGGAGTCTGCGCTGAGCAGTGTGTAAATGCTGGGCAAACCTGCTCGAGAGATGATCTCAGTGTTGGGGAGCTTATCTTGCCACGTTACTCCCAGGATGCAGCGAATGCTTCCCCTGTGAAAGGTGTTCAGATGCCTTTCTTGCCTGGCATACATGGTCCAAGTCTCGCTCCCATATAGCAGTGTACTGATAACGCAGGCGTTGTACACTGCCATCTTTGTCTTCACCGACAGCTTGGGATAGGTCCACACTCGTTTTCTGAGGCCCGCAAGTGTTGTGGCTGCTTTCCCGATTCTCTTGTCAATCTCTGCGTCTAGGAGAGATTGTCAGTGATAGTGGAGCCAAGATACGTGAACTGATGGACCGCATCGAGCTCATAGCTATTAATGCTATTCTTATGTTCATATCACAAACCTCTTCCTTGAGTGGCTCTTGTGCCTTGCATTGAGTGTACATGCAAATTGTTTAGAGAATGGAAGAGACAAGCCAAGCTGTAATAAAATACCATTAATGCAGCGTTGAGGTCTTTCGCTAGTTCGGATCGTAAAGGGGAAATTAAACAGTAATTATTCACAGATGAACTATCTTCGTTATTCTTTACGGAACAGACAGCTCAATACACGGAGGGTTTCAAATCGCTTCAACAAACTTTGGCGAAGACGAGGAAGAAAAATAAACCGCTAGAAAATTTTAGTAGCGTGAACAGACAAAGAGGAGGCGATGATTTGACTCCGATAGAAAGTCTGCTTCCGAATCAATTATCACAACGCTGAGTAGTAAGCCTCTGAACGAATTCCTCATCCCCACCGTCGTTTAAATTATGGTCTATTCCCAATTGGAATAGAATCATTTGTCCCAATTAGGCGGATTCCGCAATATATAGAAATTTAAATTTGTGCTTTTTTTCTTTTTGCAATCGTAGAATAAAGCATTTTAAATTGGGAACATATTTTTCTTCATTTAATCAGCTAAAAAAAATAAAAATTAGTCTAAAAAGAGCGAAAAGAAAATCAGTAAATTTTTAGACGCAAATCAGAAAAAAAAGGATTAAAATTTCTTCATATTATAGATTTGATAACACTCGGAATTACTGTAATTGTTAATGCCCATTGACGCTTTTAGAAGCTATCGAAAGCACTCTGTCGTCGTCTCTTAAGTGAATTTATTTTAAAGTTTTTTTTTAAAATCCAGATTAGCAACTATTGCAGAATCTGACAAATCTCTAGATGACACCATATTTTTGGCATTTTGAATGCACTAAATGACACATATTATAGTATCTATACTCTAGAAAGGAACTTTAGAACGAATACTTCACAACTGAGAAAAAATATACATAGAAAAGACACAGAGAGGCAACCTTACTTAATGAAGTCTAAGCCTCAAAAATTGTTTTAAAAATATTTTTTTAACGGATGGTATAGTCAATTAGTGTCGTCCGCGGGCCAAGAGAAACAGTCCTGCCAGCCATTTTTTTAAAAATCAGTATCACCCCATGCAAAGCAGTAAAGCCATTAAGACACAAGGGATTACAGGTTGAGGAAGAATGAGGAACAAAAACATTAGTAATGAGCAAAAAGACGAAAGAGTAACCAGGGAGAGTCGATTGCATTTAAATTTTTGACAATTAGAATTGGCTAAAAAGCATGGAGCTGGGAAGGAGTTTCACAAACGAGAAGTACAAAAAAAAAAAAAACTTAGCATAGCCATGTCAGCTGTAAATTATCTATCTATCTATCTATCTATCTATCTATCTATCTATCTATCTAACACCGCACATAAAGCAGAAAAGCTGCTAAGACATAAGAGGTTACAGGATGTGGAAGAATTAGGAAGAGAAACATTAATAATGAGCAGGAAGAGGAAAGGATAATTAGGAGGACAGTAGATAGAGATTGAAATTGTATTTAAAAGCCTCTATTTATCTTTCTTCTTTTTAATCAGTATCACCCCATGTATGGCAATAAAGCCACTAAGACACAAGGAGTTACAGGATGTGGAAGAATTAGGAACAGAAACATTAATAATGAGCAGGAAGAGGAAAGGATAATTAGGAGGACGGTAGATAGAGATTGACATTACATTTAAAAGCATCTATCTGTCTTTCTTCTTTTTTTAATCAGTATCACCCCATATAAGGCAATAAAGCCACTAAGACAAGGAGTTACAGGATGTGGAAGAATTAAGAACAGAAACATTAATAATGAGCAGGAAGAGGAAAGGATAATTAGGAGGACAGTAGATAGAGATTGAGATTGCATTTAAAAGCATCTATCTATCTTTCTTCTTTTTAATCAGTATCACCCATATAAGGCAATAAAGCCACTAAGACACAATGAGTCACAGGATGTGGAAGAATTAAACAGAAACATTAATAATGAGCAGGAAGAGGAAAGGATAATTAGGAGGACGGTAGATAGAGATTGACATTACATTTAAAAGCATCTATCTGTCTTTCTTCTTTTTAATCAGTATCACCCCATGTATGGCAATAAAGCCACTAAGACACAAGGAGTTACAGGATGTGGAAGAATTAGGAACAGAAACATTAATAATGAGCAGGAAGAGGAAAGGATAATTAGGAGGACGGTAGATAGAGATTGACATTACATTTAAAAGCATCTATCTGTCTTTCTTCTTTTTAATCAGTATCACCCCATATAAGGCAATAAAGCCACTAAGACACAAGGAGTTACAGGATGTGGAAGAATTAAGAACAGAAACATTAATAATGAGCAGGAAGAGGAAAGGATAATTAAGAGGACAGTAGATAGAGATTGAGATTGCATTTAAAAGCATCTATCTATCTTTCTTCTTTTTAATCAGTATCACCCCATATAAGGCAATAAAGCCACTAAGACACAATGAGTCACAGGATGTGGAAGAATTAGGAACAGAAACATTAATAATGAGCAGGAAGAGGAAAGGATAATTAGGAGGACGGTAGATAGAGATTGACATTACATTTAAAAAGCATCTATCTATCTTTCTTCTTTTAATCAGTATCACCCCATGTATGGCAATAAAGCCACTAAGACACAAGGAGTTACAGGATGTGGAAAAAAATTAGGAACAGAAACATTAATAATGAGCAGGAAGAGGAAAGGATAATTAGGAGGACGGTAGATAGAGATTGACATTACATTTAAAAGCATCTATCTGTCTTTCTTCTTTTAATCAGTATCACCCCATATAAGGCAATAAAGCCACTAAGACACAAGGAGTTACAGGATGTGGAAGAATTAAGAACAGAAACATTAATAATGAGCAGGAAGAGGAAAGGATAATTAAAGAGGACAGTAGATAGAGATTGAGATTGCATTTAAAAGCATCTATCTATCTTTCTTCTTTTTAATCAGTATCACCCCATATAAGGCAATAAAGCCACTAAGACACAATGAGTCACAGGATGTGGAAGAATTAGGAACAGAAACATTAATAATGAGCGGGAAGTGTAGACAGTAGTTAGCGATTGACATTGTATTTAAATTTTTGCAGATTCAAGTTGACTGGAAAGCATGAAGCCGGAACGGAGTTTGACAACCGGAAAAAGAAACTGTTAGCATATTTTTTTACGGCTACATCTAGCCAATTCAATTGTAAATTGATGAGGCCTCGTGCCAGTCTAGTACAGCGATTAAATTAAAAAGTCTACGTACCATGGCGAAGAATTACCATGAAAGCATTTATAGAAAAGACAACGAGAGGCAACCTTCCGGCGGTGAGAAAGTGGCTGAAGCCGAGATACATACATGAACGGATATATATATATATATATTAGGAGGCACGGTGGAGCAGTGGTTAGCAGAGCCGAGTTCGAATTCCAGTCGAATCCACTGCATTCATGTACGTGCTAATACCCTTGGGAAAGGTATGTATCCTCTTCATCTCCCTCCAGCTATGAGTAAAATAGCAGGACAGACTGGGTTCTATAGCCTTGGATGGCAACTGGTCTAGGAGAAGGACAACTCTGAATTCAAAACCTGCGGAGGGTCGTTTGGGAACCTTGTGGCATTAACACCAGGTTTCTGTATTCGTCCCTCAAAAAAGTGTGGCTGGTCCTGCACAAGGCCTTCACCACTATAAACAAATCTCATACCGGTGTCGGGATGTCGGTTTCCTGGGGACTTATCGGCCTGACCCTCATACGTCGAACGCGACGGGAGAGTCGATTATATATATATATATATATATATATATATATATATATATATATATATATATATATATATATATAAATGGGGAGACCTGCACACACAAAGAGTGTATTGATAATAACTGATACAATGATACTGACGTAAAATCTAGACATCCTTGTCCAATTCAAGTAGAATATTCTGTAACCATGGAAATGATTTTAGCTGTGTCTTTAAAACCCAGTAATTGTTAAAAAAGATACTCCAAAATTCACTTGAGGATGAAATGGAACTAATGCTTTTAATTTCATTGCAAAATTAAATTCAGGGCTTTTAGAATCTATTTTTTGAAACATGGTTAGAACGGTGTTCAAAAAACATATTTTAAATCAATTAATTTATAATATATATATATATATATATATATATATATACACAATATATATATAAAGAATTATTTACATTCCCTGGATTGCAAATATATAAAAACTAACGTGGCCAAAAATTGAGGGATCATTTTCTATATTGACTGTAATATAGAATTGGTCCCCCACTTTATACCTGCATTATAATTTCTTGTTTATCAAATTCTGATTATATATAGATCTACCTCTTCTTCCCCATCTATGGGTTAATTAATGAGACTAAAACACTAAATCACTAAAATCACTAAAACATTATTATATAAAAAAAAAATTATAAACAGCATTTTCTGGCTTTAAATAAACATAACTTGCAAAGGGTTGACAAACCTTAGAAACTGAATCAATCAATACGTCAAATAGAGATTAGCTTCAGAGACATGTCTTTTAGATTTATTTATAGTCTCTTGAATATAAATGTATAGAAATTACCATGGCCACAAAATTTTACAGTTTACATATTGATTGGAATATAGAGTTGATCCCCCATTTTATATCCACATTATAATTTCTTCTTTGTTTATCAAATTCTGCTTAGGCATCAATCCACCTCTTTCCCCTCTATGGGTTAATTAGTAACACTTGCATAACTAAAATATCTCCCCCCTCCAAAAAAAAAAAATTCTTACGATCTAAAAACAGTTTCTGGCTTTAACTAACCTGCAAAGGGCTGATAAGTCGTCAAAATCGAATCTATAAATCAAATACAGGTGAGCTACACGGGCATCCCTTTTAGATTTATTTACATTCTCTGGAATATAAATGTATTAAGACCACCGTGGCCACAAAGTGAGGGTTCATTTTACATTGTGATTGTCATATAGAATCATTCCCCCACTTTATATCCACATTATAATTTCTTGTTTGTTTATCAAATTCTGATTAGATATGAATCCCCCCGACACACAGACACCAAAAAAAGTATGAGTTAGTAAGACTTGTTTCACAAAATCATCATTATCTTCCCAAAAGAAAATTTCTTGCAATCTAAAAATATATTCTGCCTTTAAATAACCGGCAAAGGGTTGATAAGCCGTCAAAATCAAATCAATCAATAAATCAAATAGTGATAAGCTACACGGGCATCCCTTTTAGATTTATTTACATTCTCTGGAATATAAAAGTATCAAAACTACCTTGGACACAAAGTGAGGGTTCAGTTTATATTGTGATTGTAATATTGAATCGATCCCCTACTTTATATCCGCATTATAATTTCTTGGTTATCTAACAATTTAATCAGTAAGACTATATGGAAATATTTAATTTTACGAGAATCAGTAGTAAAATGTCTAGCTGACCACTCGTATTCCAGGATACTGGCCTACTACGGCGGCTAGCCAATCCCTATTGTAGACGCTTGCTCAGTCGCAATTTTTTGTTTGGTCAACACTAACAGATCCCACCTGTGGTTTATACTGTTTCTGGGAAAGAGCGTGTTATCTATCGTGATCAACAAATTGAACGAGGCCAACACGCTCAAACCCTCGGCCATGATGACTTGTGACTTCCTGCTAGCACAGCTATCGACGGCTCACCTATCCAGTTTCACTCACAAGGCTTTGATCAACCCGTGGTTTTCAGGCTGGACCGATAACATCAGGAAATCTTTCTGACAAGTCGACGAAGGTGAGATTCGAACCCGGGTCTAATGATCAGAATGCGAACTTGGCCACGTATCCATGAGTGAAACGTAGTAATAATAAATATTAGTTAAATGGCGAAGTTTATAAAGCGAAAAACAAAGAAATTATATAAAGAAAATTTTTTAAAAATGTGTTTTTTTCACTATTTACATTATTCGGACTTTTGTCCTCATCTTCGTCGTCATATTTATTACAACGTTTCGGCCTTTCAGTATCTGTCTATATTTCTGAGATGAGGTATTATGTACACTATTTACATTATTCGGACTATTGTCTTCATCTTTGTCGCTATATTTATTACAACGTTTCGGCTGCTGTTCGGTCAGGTGGTTGAAATGTCGAACTGAACCCTTTATTTCGCTCACTGGAGTAAACTGTTCTAGTTCCACGTGCCATGTTTTAATGGATGTCCTGTTAATTCTCCTCTCCAAGTTCTCCACTGCCTTAACCGGGTATTGAACTCACACTCTCAAGGACACATCACAGAGGGGATAAAGGCGTTAGTTAGATCCAGTGACAGTGCCCAAAGAGTATATTTATATGTGACTTTAATCGTTTTGATGGTG